GGTCTCTGGTGAGGGCACAGGACTTCCTGGAGATAAGAACGGATCAGAGGAGACTGGATCAGTTGATCAGTGAGGCAAGGGCTGGGGAGGGGTGGCAGCCTAGAATCATTCATGAGTGATGCCAGACACTTTGGAAATCCAGATGTATTTTGAAGGGGTTACATGGGACTGCAGTCCTAGCATGAGTAGGTAGATTTATTTAACTATTGAGATTTGGATGTTCATGTTAATGTCAGCTAATTTTTAGCCTCATGCTGGAGAAGTTTTAGAACATTAAGATTACCCATGATATTCTCTTTTTCGAAATTTATTTAGGTGTGTTGCTTTCTTTTTGGATAAGTCTGAGTAGTTAATAAACAAGTCTGATGCTTATAAAAGTTTTATTCATTCATTAAACAACTATTCATTGAGCAACCTCTATGCACTTGGGAATACAAAAACTTTAAAACACAGTCCCTGCCTTCGAGTAGCATAAAGTCAAATATGGGAAACAGAAAATGTAGTAAAAGAGATAGTCAGGGCAAACACAGGGTGTATTAGAGCCCACAGGTGGGGCACCTAACCCAGGTGGAAGGGTAAGATCAGGCACTGTTCTTCAGAGGAGGTCACTGACAGTTCTGGCTGCCATAGCTATGGTCCCCTGTAACAGCAATAGGCCACTTCAGCTTACTGATATGAACAAACCACATTTTATTACTGCTAAATGGTACTGAGAATGAGTTAAGGTTAGAGATAATCAGCAAACTAATATAGAGCTTAAAAATCCCTGTAGGATTTTTTTTTTTTTTTGAAGAACTTGACAGAACCAATACATGCTAAAAATCAATTAAGGGACTGCCTGATTAGCTAAGTTTGTAGAGCGTGTTGCTGATAACACCAAGGTCAAGGGTTCAGATCCCTGTACTGTCCTAGCTGCCAAAAAAAAGGTAAATGTCAGTTAAATAGATAAATTTGTAGGTATTTGTTTTATGAACACAGAAAAGAACCAGGTTTCCCAATGCCTTCAGGCTAATGTAATGTTCAGCCTCATTAGCATGACTCATGAGGGCCTTGATAATCTGGCCCACACTTTCTCCCCATCCTTACGTCCTGCCCATTCCCTCCTGACTATCAGCACACCGCCCTTTCTCCTCCCACATGATGCTATACACTGCCAAGATAACTGGATTGGGAGGATTTAGTTTCACACCACCACACTGTTCCTGTACCCCAGTCCCCCACTGATATTGTGAAGAGCACAAGCCAGAATGCCACACAGCGTAGATTTGTCTGCTTCTTTCCTCAAGATATTTCACTTGTTCCTTTAGCTCCTGTATTTCTGGCAAACTGGAAGTTAGGTTTAAAGGCTTACCAGCTTTGGGTGAAACATTTTTCACAAGAAGACTTTATAGGTGGTGCTACAGCCTTCACAGGACGCACAGATTGTCCCACCATTATCATGTGTGAAAGGTAGTGACAATCATGTTTTTTTTTTTTTGTTTTTTGTTTTAAAAGATGACTGGTAAGGGGATCTTAACCCTTGACTTGGTGTTGTCAGCACCACGCTCACCCAGTGAGCCAACCGGCCATCCCTATATGGGATCCGAACCCGGAGCCTTGGTGCTATCAGCACCACACTCTCCCGAGTGAGCCACGGGCCGGCCCGACAATCATGTTTCTTTACACTGTTTAAGATATGTTCTCTCCTCAGCAACTGGCAAGTGCTTTGTGGGGTAGTATTTTGGCAACTTATAAATATCTTGTTCCCCATTAACATTTCATGTAATGATTTTGGCACATATTGACGATATTGGAATGAAACAGTGATCAATTGTGGTGGCAAAATGGTAATTTTCTAATTTTTTCATGTTTTCTACATTTATTATCAGACATTCTTCTATTAAAACCAGCTTTCCTTTACTACTGCTTCTCCTAAAATGGCACGGTAATACTCAGTTCTTTCCTTTTAATAACCAATTCTCAGAGTAAGGAGACTAAGGAGTTGGTGTAATCGTCACTTTCAATGGTGGTTCATTAGTTTTTCTTGCTCTCATTTTTTGAGTGTCATTATGAACTCATGGATTTTATATATTTAATATGTTATGACAGTTACAATTATTATTCTTTTTTGATGTCAAATTGTCTCCCATTTGCTCAGCGAAATCTGTTTCAAGCTACTTACTGTGTTTTTTTTTTTGTCCTTTTTGAGACCAGCCACACCGTGCTCAGCCAGTGAGCGCTGTGAGCGCACCTGTCATCCCTATATAGGATCCGAACCCGCAGTGGGAGCACTGCTGTGCTCCCAGCGCCGTACTCTCCCGAGTGCACCACAGGCTCAGCCCTACTTACTGTGTTTTTGATAGTCCCCATTTGTCTTTGCTTTTTGGCACAATAAGGTGTGTAAGATTTACCTTGTACTTCCCTTGCCCCAGTCATTTCTCAAAGCTCTGTGAAAAACCTCTTTTTCAGGACTTGGGTAACTCAAATTTTCCTTTACATGAGAGATACTGGGTAAGACTTTATGTTCATAATACTGGTGGTGGAGAATAGGTGGCATTTGGGCTGATATCTCTGTTTGACACAGAGTAAAACTTTCATATTTCTCTTGATACATATTGTTGGGGAAGGAAAAAACTGTTCCCCTACCTCTTAGTTCAGTAGCTGGAGCATGGGGATTAAACTGACAAAAGACATATGAACAGGAGTAAAGATTTATTATGAATGCACATAGGAGCTGCACAGGAAAGAAGAGAAAAACCCAAAGAGGCAGTTAGACCTGGTGGCTTATACACCATTTTAACAAAGGGTGATAAACTGTGACAAGACTAGACAAAGGAAAAGAGGTTTGGGCTTCTGGTGGTGGTGGAGTAAATTGTCGAAGGTGCCTCGGAAATATATGGTAAGAAATGGTTGTTTAGAAAGGTTTGTTATGCAGATCATCCTCCTCTTCCTGGTATGGGAGAGCAGCACGCCTTTAAAAATGGAAATTTATGTCACCTTTACAATGGGAAATTTATACTCTGCTTTTAGACTGAAAGGAAGAGGGCAGAGAGTTCTTCCTGTGTTTGCAGTTTCTCAGTTGCCTTCAGCTCAAAATGATCCATGACAAAGTGGCATATTTTGGGGTGGAATATTCTGATCCTCTTCAATATTAACGTGGGTTACTTCTTTCCAGCTTTTATTTCGTTACTTATTGCAGTTCCTTATGTTTCTTTTTTTCTGCTGTTAGATGATCAGCTCTTTTAAAAAACAGAACTGTCTTACCTGCACAACCTCAGCAGGAAGCTCAGGCATTAAATAAATATTTATTATAAATTAGGGGGAACCTGTCTACTGCTGTACAAGCCCACAAATGCTATGGGTTTGAAAACCAGATGCTTGATTTGCTAGAATTATTTTAAAATCAGAATAATTAGCTCCAGGGCCGGCCCGGTGGCACACTCGGTAGAGTGCGGCACTTGGGAGTGTGGTGGCGCTCCCGCCGAGGGTTCGGATCCCATATAGAGACCGGTCCGCTCACTGATTGAGCGCAGTGCGGGCGCGACACCAAGGGTTGCGATCCCCTGCTGTTAGATGATCAGCTCTTTTAAAAAACAGAACTGTCTTACCTGCACAACCTCAGCAGGAAGCTCAGGCATTAAATAAATATTTATTATAAATTAGGGGGAACCTGTCTACTGCTGTACAAGCCCACAAATGCTATGGGTTTGAAAACCAGATGCTTGATTTGCTAGAATTATTTTAAAATCAGAATAATTAGCTCCAGGGCCGGCCCGGTGGCACACTCGGTAGAGTGCGGCACTTGGGAGTGTGGTGGCGCTCCCGCCGAGGGTTCGGATCCCATATAGAGACCAGTCCGCTCACTGGTTGAGCGCGGTGCGGGCACGACACCGAGGGTTGCGATCCTGTTACCGGTCACAAAAAAAGACAAAAAGGAAAAAAAAAAAGAATAATTAGCTCCATAACTTTTAGTGTATGGCCTTTACGTCAACTATTGTGGTTGTGCGGCAGTCTTCGGTTTCAACCCCAATCTAGGATGCATTCAAGTGTTATTTGCAAAAATGCCTAGATTAATTTGTTGAGGGATACACCTAATTTTCTTGTCCCCCGATTACTTTGCACTAACAAAACAAAATCAAACCAAACCAGTAGTATTATGTTCCAAGTTGAAAAGGTTTTTAGATTTTATCATTTTTTAAACTAAGTAAATTGTTTTTTCTCCCATTTTACTCACTTCAGTACCATAATCTGCAGTAGCTGGTTTCCATTTAATTTCTAGACTTAAAACTGATAAAATCTACTCTGACCAGGTCAGCTAAAATACAGTGCCTTGGGAGATTTGGGATAAGCCAGCAGTTATGTCCATCTGTCCTGAAAAATGTTACTTTAAGACCATTTTACTTAGACCATTTTTTTAAGTAGCCATAATAAAGCCAGAAAGCCGTAAAGATTAGGAGGGCTGTCCTTCTACCTCTCTCCTTTGATTTCTCCCCCTTCTTGTGATTGTAAAATGCTAAGCTCTGCTGGCCCTTTGTGGAACACATTTTCAGAGCTATTTGATCTATGTGTCTCTCCACTTGCCATCATCTTATTAGCTCAATAAATCCTTGCTGTATGTATTTGGCCTCACTTTCTTTTTAGGTCAGCAAAACCATTGCTAAAAATTCAAAACTGTCACAATTTCCTTTTTTTTTAAGGGAAGCTAAATAAAATATCTTATTATACTGATGTACAAGCCCTCGTACATCTCGCTCCTCCCAAATATTTTGCCACCAGAACTCCTGTTTTCAAAGCTCATTGCAAAGCTACACACCGGGGTTCTCAGAAGACACCGGGCCAGGGAATGTTTCCAGGCCCGTCCCAATCTCGCCCCTCCAAGCGTGGGACGGGAAAGGCCGCGCCACAGGAAATAGCTGAGGGCTGCCAAAGGCCGCGGGCGGCCGCGGGCCGGGGAGGGCAGGCGGGCGGGGAGCCAGCGGGGACGCGGCATCGCGCTGCG